GTGATTACAGGAATCACACTTCGGAATTGTCCTTTCGTGTTGGAATGTGAATTGTTAATTTTAGATTATTTCATAATAATTTACATAGCTGTTCTTGTGGTGGTTATACTTCCTTTGATCCATCTGGAACTATTTATCGGTCAACGTCATCGCGCAGGAGCGTGCAAGATTTTCCGGAACTATGGTCCGGGATTGGAAGGTGAGTTAAAGGAGGAAAAAGGGAGATGGGGAGTGAGTGCTGCATCTTTTGCGTACTCTGCATTAGGCCCATATTGACGACAAGATGCTGAGTAGCTCGATAGTGAAGAAAAAAGAAGAAAAACATGCCAACTGCCCTAGATAGAACCCCATTTCGATCCCAGTTTGTACGTGCCCAATTAACTCTATCTCCAACACTACGCCCTCATCCGCACAGCTGATTCTCCGACAAGAACTACGACCGTACAAGCGACGATCTCCATGCTTTTTCATCCCGCACCTTCCTCTTTCACTGAAAAGCGTGCCTTGAAGACGGCGACTGAAGGTCACTGGGAAAAAGGAGGCGTCGCTGAACCTATATTGCACTTGAGCGCCCCTCCCTTACAAATTTTTGCCACAAAACATGTACAAGGTTGCTCGGGACCACACTGCCCTCCCGACGCCATATGTTCAACTTCTATGCATGATCTCGGACCGTGCCTTAAAGGTCTTGGCATAGTCCCTAGGCCCGAAAGGCATGCAGCATCGTCGAAAGAATACCATCAATGAGGTAGTAGGAAACAGAAGGGGTGGGGGTATGTAATTTCATACATCTTGATTCTATGCTATGGTTCCGATATGGGAGACAAACTCTACCATAAGACTTCTTCACGAGCAACATCAGGGATGTTGTGTATTCAAGGGTGGGGAATCGTGAAGGAACATACAGAATTACTCTGATTTGAACGGGAAGCTTGTGGAAAATTGAGTCAAAATAGTAAAGCGGATCGAAGATTCAGTCCATATCCCGGCATCGGAGAGAGCGTTCCCGTGGAACTGACTATGAGTGCAGCGGCAATAGCGTACCTGTGGAATGTTGTCGGTACAGGCAACTGTCAAGCCTAGTGTACCAACGTTTTCTTGTGCTGACTGCATTCTCTAATGCATACGTTTTCATTCCCTGCCCGGCCGCCTTTACCCTGGCTAATGCCGTTTGGACCCAAAAATTTCGGTTGTATATAGGGGTAATTCAACATCCTGATTACGAGTATGACACTCATTCTTGGCG